TAAGCACGTGAAAGTGTTTGTCTCCATGCAGCTTGAATGTACAGGGCCCATTACACACACATGTTACTGTTGACATGCCATTGTTCTCATAGCTGCCAATACTACAGCCTGCTACATTCTGTTTGGTCATTGTCTACTACTAAGATTGTCAAAAGTATCAATAATCGATGCTAAAACTTTTATCAAAACTAGATACTGATTTGAGCAGGTATCGATACTAAAAAAGTCATTGGACAGCTTAACTTCAGAATGGTCTAAACTAGTATACGCCCATGGATCACTATGGATGACTGTACTTCTGGATGAATGCACTATTATTTAATGTTGAAAATCACATTGTTTTGCCAAACTAAAGAATGTTTTTTATTATTATTATTATTATCATCGTTGTATCTGTATTATTGAGTCTATTCCTTAGTATCAAAATCAAGTTTAAAATTTTTGTTTCATGACAAATATATATATATTTTTCCCTTTAATTTAAGGGCCATATTACACTATTTCCTGATCTATGTTGTAATGTTCAATAAAAATATACCTGTGTTTTATTTAATTCTCACATTTTTAACACACAGACCCTGCATATTTTTGGTGAGTCCTTTTCTCAAACAGAAAACACTCTATTCCACCTAGTGATGTCATGCAGTAATACAGGACGTGCTCCACTGTGTTTTTAAACTCCATACACCTTCACTAGAATCATTTGGATCATTTCAGTCCTGGATTTGGTAGATCTCTACTAAACAAAAGACAAAAGGAGCTATCTTTTATGTTTACTTGAAAACTACTGCCTCATGACAACACAGAGTATTTTGTGTAATATAAGATCTATAAATACAACACAACAAATCAATGACATGATTTAAGCACCTCAATTTTGACTCCTGTGATTGGTCAGCATGAAATATGCAAATTACGGTGCAGCCTTTGACACTCTCGCCAGTAAGATCCATTGTTGTCAATTGATCTACGCAGAATGTGAAATGAAGGCTGAGGTTCGCAAGACTACAATGCATTATTAATGACTGGCTTGACTTCCATAAAGCACTGGTGTCTCATAAGACCTCCTGCTTCACATTGTATTTGGTCTGAAATGCTAAGGTAGGACTGTAGGCCTTTACTCATTTAATCATTTAATCAGTCGATGGTGTCAACTAATTATTTTATTAAGATTTTCAGGAATTGTATGGGACATGTAGCAGAAAGGAGAGTTTAGGGAGTAGATTAGATGAAGAGTTCGGAGTGAATCCCATGTTTAAACTGACTTTTTCCATATAAATACACTTTTTCCTAGTCCTTTTCTGTATAAAGAGTTGTTGTTGCATGTACTCCCAAGCAGTTTTAGTCTTGTGAGTGCAGTATGAGTCAGATACATAGAGATAATAGTTTTAGCTTTTGCCACACCTCCTTCTTTCTTTTTAAGTGAATCGATTGGCAGAACATGTCTGTAGGTGAACAAGTAATTATTTAGCTGATGACAGCCCTAGTATTGATATGAAATTCCGATGGTAATTGTAATTTGAATAATTAAAATGCATTGGCTTTTTAAAATTTATTATAAAGCAAATTGAGACCAGTCTTTGCTTCTTCTTTTTAATTTATTATTACCAATTACATTTTTGCTAATATTATAATGTGTGAGTTACTGTGCCCAAATAATTTCTACTGTAGATCAATAAAGTTTCTTTTTCGTTTTGTAATTTCAGATTTTTTTGATTTTCTTATTCTCCTCCCCCAAAATCTCATCTCATGATTTTGTGTGTGCAGGATGACGGGTGCCACAGTGGCGCCTCCTCTGCACCATCAGCTGACATGAGAAATGATCAGGGAGAGCTGTACTCAGGTGGGAGGTGATGCTAGCTCCAACCATATGGTGTGCCTGTTGATACAGATACAGCCTTTTTTAGATATGAAAACCTATATTTGTATCACAACAAGGGAAATTCCACCGTACTCTATAAACTACACAGTAAATAGTCACCTCTTTGCAACAGGCCTTTCTAGTGTTCACCTGCAAATTGAGAATGTTGCTTCTTTACCTCAATTAACCTTCTTCCTACATACTGTAATTTTGGTGCATTGTCATTTTTCTGGTGAAGGGTCCACCACCTGTTTTTGTCCATGGAGGTGTCATTGCTTTATCTGAAATGTTTCACAGTATGGCATTAAACCATTCTATCATCATGGAGACCAAACCAGGCTAAATTACTGGTCAGATCTGTGGAGAGGCATTGTCAGAATGCCTGTTTTTCTAGGTATTTTTGAGTAATAAAACCACCTGTAATTTAATAAATGCAAGGTAGAGCTGTTTAATGTCATACTGTGGAACATATGAAGCAGTATCCATAGAAACAAGATGGTGACGGACCCCCAACCAAAAAGTTACATAGTGCACTTTTAATCTATGACAGTCTTCCTGGAGCTAAAATAAGCTTAGCAGTAGTGATAGATAATATTTTCCTGCTTGAGAATAGCTCTGGTATATTGTGAGATTTGCCGGAGGTTGTTTTGACATCTTCCTGTCCTGTGTAAGCCCCTGTGGCAGCCATATTGCCTCATTAAACCACCCATAATACAGTAGTATCAGTTTCACTGAAAGTCCATCTTGTCCTAACCTCTTTTTCAATTTACATTTGGAAATTTAAATTGTGTTTTATGTTTAGCCAGATTTCTTGATGTTCAGAACATAGTGTCAATTCTAATTTTGCGCTTACAGTACCAACTCTATTATGTGCTTTTCTTAGTAATGCTATAAACTGCACACTAAGGCACTAAGGATAAAATATCTTTATTTACTCTATAATATGTTACTCGGAAAGTGTCCTTAAATTACCAAAGAGTGCAAAGATCACTGACTTGAGCGCCAGTGTCAGTCCATCCGGTGAATTTCAGCATTGCATTACAAACTCATAGTTTAGTCAATTAAAATGAACTACTTCAATGTGAAAACCATACTGTATATATAAATGTACATAGCTAACCCACTAACCACTGCGTTTCAAATAGGAAGTGAGCATGGAGGCACTTCTGGCTCCATTGACTCTGTTTCCAATTTCCTTTACATTGGAAAATTGTCTCCACTCTCTCTGTAACTGCTGCAGTGAGCCATCATTATGGTCTTAAAATGTTCTTATTAACCTGCTCTACATGATGCTGGTGTTTCTATTTCGCTATTTTGTCTGTAAATAAATTTCAATTCCTGATATGAACCTGGCTCCAAATTCACCCCATAATCGCTAGCATTGTGAACTTCATTTGAATGGAACCTATGGGTGACATCACACTTCCTTCATCCACTTCTTTATTATATTATTATATTATATTAGCAAAAGTAACACAAAGCTATTTCACACATATGCACACCTTTTTTGGAGGGGGGCATTCCTCTACTGGAAGTAAATTTGATACATGCCCATAATAACTGATCAGTCAGTGGTACCAAGGTGTCCATTCATTGTGATGGATCAATTCTCTTTGTATAGACAGGACCACTCTCATTGTCCTTAGGCAGTGATGCTTGACCTCCCTCCGAAACACACGACCAATAATGGGACTGTTAAACTGCAGCTGCATGTGCCATGGATCACAGGGGTACAGTGTCACAGAGGATCACACAATGGCTGTATCTGACACCTGCTTTGATTTAAAACAGAAGTAGAAGGTAACAAAGTACAAAAGTAAATGTATAATACTTAAGTACAATTTTTAGGTATCTGTACATTACTTGAGTACATTGTGCAGTGCATACTTTTACTTCATTACATTTGAGAGCATGCATCTGTACTTTCTACTCCACTACATTTTATATCTGGACTGAAAAGTAAAAAGTAGCCTACTTTTCTTTACAGTGTGAGACCTGTTGAAATGGCTGAGACTTATTTTTAGCACATTTTAACATTTAGAGTTAATGTCCCAAATTTGAGCATACCAAATACACAAAAACAGCCAGAAAAAATAAGAAATCAATTGAATCACTAATAATCTGCTAATAGTTCTAATAGTGCTTTAATAGTTCTGAAAGTCTCTGCAAAATGCTTTTAGTGTTCCTCTTAAAGTACATTTTTGACCAAATTTTTCATGTGATACTTTTACTTTTACTTCAGTAATCATTATCCCCTGTATCTAATTTTACTTGAGTAACAAAACTGATTATTTCATGTGTTGGACTGATATAAAGCCCATGATTTCAGCTGTCCGTGGATAAGCAGTGGAGGAATGTGTGACGTATCATATGTTCAGAGATAGTTCCTGTGCCTGGTGAAACTGAAGGTGTATAGATAGATTTTTCCTACAGAGAAGGAAATGAGCTCTGTTGACGGCCAGTGTAGTGCAGAAAGTGTATCAGCGCTTTCTCTTCTGCGATCAATAGGGCTGAGATGCTCCCCCTCCTCTTTAGCCACAGTCTCCTTCAAGCAAGAGGGAGGAAGCAAGTGGGGGAAGGAGCTGAGAGAGGCAGGGAGGAGGGGTCCCACAAGAAGACTACATTAGAGGCTGCTTCTGTACGGCCATTTTTAGTACTTTGGAGCATTTCTACTTTATATTATTGCTTTATTGTATTATTAAAAGTGCATTGTGCAACTTAACTTTTCTGGTGGAGGGCCCGTCAAATGCTTTTCTCCCTGGAGATCTTATTGCATTGTCTGGAATGTTTCTCAGTATGGTGTTAAACCTTTCTATCTTCATGCAGATCAAACCAGATCAAGTTACAGGTCAGATCTGTGGAGAGGCAATTCTCACAGTCGGAATGCCTATTTTTCTAGGTATTTCTGAGCTATAAAACCACCTGTAATTGAATAAATGTAAGGTAGAGCTGTTTAATGTTATACTTTGGAAAGGTGACAGATCCCCAACCAAAAGAGTTCCATAGTGCACCTGTAAGTATTGTTTGGAGCTTTTAAACAACCAGCTATTGTCTTTAAAAGAATGAATAACAACAGTATATTTATGTAACAAAGTAGATATTATCCCCCTAATAAAGGTGAGTTTCACACCGGTCTTACCTGTAGGCTTCATGTACGCCTCTATGTCGGCCATGTCCGTGTGCAGAGCGTAGTCCAGATAGTTGTGGATAACTTTGCTGCTGTAGTAGTATCGTGCTCCCATCAGAATGAAGGGGGCACAGCAGGTCAGCGTGATGGATTTGGTCACGACAAAGCACATTACTATGGAGAAATGGAAGAAAAATAAACGAAACCTGTCAGAAAAGAGAATCAGATGTTTGATTTTTGGTGGATTTGAACCAGTGCAAACAAGTATAAAACAAATTATTATGATAGAAGCAGTAAGAGCAGAGGACAGTTATTAGAAAAGACACGCCATAGTGCAAAAAAGTCATTGGATAAAACGAGCAAAGTGAAAAACAAGTTGGAGATGGGCATCATATTACTCTACAAAACATTTGAATGCTTCTGGTGTCAATGTTTATGAGACTGAAGCTGGTTTTAGGAAAGGTTTTGTAGTCAGATTAACACCGCAACAAAACAAGTCAGATTTCACAGGCACAATGCAAAACAAAAGACAATACTTTGGAGTGAAGGTAACTGCAGGGAGCGCACTCATCATACACTGCGCACACCCACAAATTTTTAAACGTGCGTTAGTGGTGAACGTGCGCGCACACCGCGAGCCAATCCTCAAAGCCTTAGAGCCATTCATTCACGGCACCGGCATGTCACCACATCCCCAGAGCCGGTTTGAACGCACATGCACCACGCGCTCGCCCATGCCTTTTGTTGCATGACGGGTAACATGCCGGTGTTTGCCGGTACAAAGAGCCTGAGGCCGCAGCGGTGTTTTTGCTTTTTGCGCACGGAAAGCAGCTCGAGCTTGTAACAATTTCAACGGTGTTTAAATAAAATTGTGGCTTTTACTTATAAAACTAATTCTACAAACATGCACTGGAGACAATCAGCCGCACTCACCTGTCAACATAGCGTAAATAAACTGGGTTTTGGGCTGCTGCCGGAGCCCCCTGAATGCACTGTTGGGTATCCTCTCCATGATTCCCTCGTAAAAGATGCGGCGCACCTCCTCCCGGTCCTCGCGTTCGAACTCACGGATAAAAACTGCGTCTTTCCTCACGAGCTTCGCCTCCGCGGGGCTCAGAGCCGCGGCAGAGGGAGAAGAGGGGGTGCTCCACATAATAGGCTCTTTTTTGGTCCCTGGTATAGCATCATGTTCGTCCGCAACTATTTTAGTCTCGCAAACCATTTTGGGAGAAAAATGCATGCAACTGGCCGCGAAAAGCAGTTAAGAAAAGAGAAGGGAGAATGGGTGGAAATGGATGAGGCTGTTGCGTTGGAAACTAGATGAAGGGGAAGAGACGAGAGGGGAATGTTTCTGCTGCAACCCTGAGCGTATCTGACGACCAAGACTCGCCTCTGTGACTCGAGCGCTATTTATGCGCGCACACTGGGCGGTAGGATTCAGGTTCAGGGGCCAGGGTAGTCCACCGGCTGCGCAGATTGGTGGAGGCGATGAGATGCTCGTGGATGGATGAGGGGTGGAGGGACACCACACAGTGATCAGGCCGGTACGAACCGGTAAAAGCGTGCTTTTGGTGTAGGTTAAAACACAACCAGAACAATATGAGTGTGAATGTAATGCGCAAAGGCGAGAACTTGCGTCAAAATGTGGATTTTCCACTGCAGCGCTTAAATCTCTATATCAGTTTTAATCTGTGTGATATTCCCTTCATCATTTCACAATGAGTGTGCAATTTTTAAAATACATTTTGCACTAAACAAAGTTATTACTTCTCAACTGACCCTCTGCTGTCGACTGAAGTGTGCATCCCCATATGTGCCCAGCACCGCGGGCTGAGCCGGTCTGACTGACAGCTTTGCTGCAGTGCAGTGATTACACCGCGCGGCTTTTTATCTGCTTTTGTCAACCTGTTCCAGTCTCGACGTGGACACGAGATGCGCGAGAACTTTACTCTTTAAATCACCTGTGCGCCTCAAAGTACTACGCGTGCACTGCCTTATTTCTGAGCTTTACGCACGAGGGGTGTTGAGCCTCGCGACCGAGGCGCTGCTCCTTTGTTGCTCCACGACACTCCCTGATGCTAACATCACTGGCAGACATCATCGTAGTGCTTGTCTGTTTTACTTAAGCGTTATAACATCATACTAATCACTTTTAGATTGGGGTACCTAAAAAGGTTTTTCTTCTTTTAATTTAAACAAGAAAGCAACAGTTTAAAGATTCGAGAACTGCCAACACATTTACTTTAATAAGAATTTCTTTTCCATTTTCACTCAGCCAGTGAAATGTGTGCGTGTGTGAGTGCGTGCGCGCGTTTTGTCGATTTTGGTGTTAACATTCTCAGATGAAAAGCCCACTGGATCATCACTGGCAAACTACTATTGATAAGGCTACCCCCACTGCACTGGTCTCCTCCTTCCTTGAGGTAACCCCCTCCCCCTTTAGAGGAACTGGAGAGAGGAGAGCCGCAAGACATTCATCATCCACTGTCACACCAGCATTGCCTCTGTCTTCCGGAGACGCTCTCGGTTTTTTCAACGACGTAAGAGTAAATTTACAAAGGAAATGATGTAAACATGGAACCACCTCTTTTAGTAACTAATTAGACTAAAATACACACTTGTATAAATTGTTAAATCATGTTTAAAAAATTAAAATGTTGCTGCATATTTAAAGAGCTCATGTTACGCTAATTTATGATCTATGTTATAATGTTGTTTTCTTATCAAAAACCTACCTGGAGTTGTGTTTTTAGGCTGAGTTTTTCTCTTAAACAGAAAACACTCTGTTCCACCTTGTATCATGTGGTAATACAGAAAGTGCTCCACTTTGTTTTAAACTTCATACACCTTCACTAGAATCATTTGGACAATTTCAGCCGTGGAATTTCCATTATTTGAAAAATCTACTGAACAAAAAAGAAGAAAGGGTAGCTGTTAACTCGAAAACTACAGCTTCATGACGTCACAAGGTGGAACAGAGCATTTTGAGCAATATAGGACCTTTTATGTCTGTATAGAAGATAGTCATCTCTGAGTCAAAAGTGGCCATTTGAGCTTTACACCACAAACTAAGTCTGACAGTGACTGCTAGAAGTCATCTCAGTTTGACAGAGGCCAGCTCCTATCCACATCCATTAGAGGCTATTGAGTAGAAAGTATCTGAAGTACTTGTTGGTGAGTACTGGTGTTGCTGCAGATGTGGGTGATACACAGATGGCTGTGTATCACCCACTGTGGCTCTGAGCTTACCTCATCAGTTTTATTAAAGCGTTGTTTTACTTTCTTCTTCAAATGCATTCTGGCTTTTTTTCTTCTTTTTTCTTTACATCTTGATAAATGCCTCTGTGTCATACTTGATAATTCATATTGCGTGTTAGAATATGCAGATATATTTTATGCATTATCTTGAGCATGACTTATGATTCCCAAAGAGAATCAGTGCTGTTCCATGTCTGTTTTCCATTCTCATTTCACACTGGGAGAAAATGATGGGACCATAAATTCATCAGAAAAGAGCACCTTTAGTCTGTCAGTAATTTAAAATGTATTACCTTGTGACAATATTTAAGATATGTAAGTATAAGATAAGATATATACTTAAAGCTATTAACTTTAAAGGTTCTATATTACACCAAATTGACTCTTGGAAGCTTTTAGTCATGTTATGATGTTGTTAGCTCCTCAAAAACCAAAGCTCCAAATGCTCTGTTCCACCTTGTGATGTCTTTTCAAGTTAACAACTGCCCTATACCTTAAACTCAAAGAAGCAATTCCAGGGCTGAAATTATCCAAATGATTCTAGTCAAAGTGTATGGAGTTTAAAAACACAGTGCAGCATGTCCTGTATTACCACATGACATCACAAGGTGAAATAGAGTGTATTCTGTTTGAAAGAAGAACTCATCTTAAACATGTCATGTTTGTGTGTTGAACATGTGTGAATGAAACAAAACACAACACCAAGTATCAAAATAGTGAGGGAATTCAGAAGACACCTGGAAGCAAAATGCCACTTAACATGTGTCATGTATGCACTACTACAATAAGTATTTTTTGCATTTCATTTTGTAGTGTAGTGTTTAGCGGCCTCTAGTGGTTTAATTGCATATTGTATCTGAATCCTGAAGCAATTGCTACCCACATTTAAGTTTATTTATCACAATATATAAGTACTTTCCTTTATTCCAGGGTCCATTTATAGTCTATTACTTTTCACTTGTTCAAATAAGAACCTATAATACAGATGCTCCTGGGAATTTATATGCAACAATTCACAAAAAAAGTTACGTAGGGCGACCTTGGGAAACAGCCCCGTGCAAGTTGAAGGAAAGATAAATCATATTGGCTGCTATTAACGTGTTTTTTCTTTCTTTTTTTTTCTTCTCTCTCTCTCTCTTTTCAGTTGATTCAGCTTGTTCCTGTGTGTAATCAGAGCTTCCAATAGCAATCACAGTATAGTCAAAGCTGCCTCGTCCACATATTTGGAGATGCTCGCGTTGTGGCGCCGTAAAACGAGATTTCCGCCCAAACACATTGGCAACAAAAACAGAGAGCGTTGCCAGCGCACTGCAGTACCGACTGTTGGGTAAATTTAGCTGCAGTTTATGCGTTGTATCCTTTTCCAGTGTGTTATGGGCTCTCTGCATTTCCAGCGGTGAAACGTTCGGGGGAAGAGTGCTGCATTGCTGCGGCACAACTGGCAGCGTGCCTTTACTTCAAACCCCCCCTACTGGTGAAAACAGGGTCCCACTGTGTCTCGTCCAAAACCTGATGTAAATAAATAATGGAGTAAAGTGTGTGGGAGGGGATGAGGTCAGCGAAATCACTAGGACCTGCAAACATAGCAACTGCCATTCGGATCCTGCATTCTCACTTTCTCTGGGGCTATTTTGGCCTGCGGGCAGTTAACAAAATGTAATATTAAAGGTGCACTGCGTAACTTTTCGAGTTGGAGGTCTGCCACCATGGAGATGCTATTGCTGTGCCTGTATATGGTATTAAATGTATGTAAGTTGCATTTATTCAGTTATGACTGTGAGTGGGGTCACCGCTTCAGAAAATTGGCCTGGTGGCGTCTTCTGCTTGTCTCTGTGGAGATTGATAAGTTTAATGCCATACTTTGGAACATTGCAGGCGAAGCAATAACATTTCCATGGACACAAGCAAGTAACAGGCCCTCCACCAGGAAAGTTACACAATAAACCTTTAACTCTTGCCATCAAAACACTACTACTGCTTAATTTTTTGTGCAGTCCTGCTCCATCACTTACTAGTATTCTACTCCACTGTGGGATGAAGCTGGGAGAGTACCACAGAACTTGGCCAAAACATTCAGGGACAATCAGGCAAAGTTAAACAGATTCATTAGGGAAAATTAGGTTTTACAAGTCGTTGAACAGTGACGCAAAATGCACATAGACTTGGCTGACTCAATCTCATTGCAACACGAGAGCACTCAAGGGAGAAGATTATATTAAAGGTGCATTGTGTAACTTTTCTGGTGGAGGATTCATCAGTTGCTTTTTCGCCATGGAGATGGGTTAGTTATTGCTTTGTCTGGAATGTTTCACTGTATGGTATTAAACCTTTCTATCTTTACAGAGAGCAAACTGGACCAATTACAGCTTAGATCTGTGGAGAGGCAACCCCGCTCACAGTGAGAATGCCTGTTTTTCTAGGTATTTTTGAGCTGTAAAACCACCTGTAAGTGAATAAATGTAAGGCAGAGCTGTTTAATGTCATACTGTGGAACATTCCAGGCAGAGCAATGACATCTCCATAGAAACAAGCAGGTGACAGAACCCAACCACAAAATTAAACAGTGCACAGTGCAGTTTTTGTCATTTTAGAGGATCCAGATAATACACCAGTGTTGTAAGGACTGTAACTTGTTTTTATTTTACAACAAGACAGACTTTGAACATTTAAAGTCATTCCATAGTTACACAGCAGGCCATGTCTCTGTCCTTCCCTTGCTCTTTTTAATCCATATAATAATAATAATAATATATGTCCTATTACTATTCTTGCATACACGTTTTTAGACTTTAGACACATAAGACAAACATTACCCGTGTACAGATGTAAACATAGAATCTATATGAACAAAAAGTGCTGTATCTTCATGCTACACTTTGCTAAGTCAAGACATGTGCTGAAAAACATCACATTTCATTGCTGACTTCATGACATTTCTTTACAAATTTAAAAACTAGTAAAGTAACCAGTTAACTGACTAATTAGCAGAAATAAATAGCAAATGATACTGATACAAACATGAATATCTTGTTTCATAACTTATATTAGATGCTACAGTTTAATGTGTATAACAATCGTAAACAGCTGTTAAAACACATTCAGTATATGTACTTGTGTATTCTACTATTCTATCTACATTATCAACTAAATACAACAAAGTAGAAAAACTTATTTCATTTAACACGGATGAGGAGTAGTCTAATTTTACAGCTATACAAAATAGTGTTTTGTAGGCGTGTTTCACAATCTAAATTATCAGTTGTATAAAAGACATCCCAAATAAGGCATGGTACAAATGAACTGAAAGCTCCACTTGACAATAAAAGAAAATAAAGTGCCTATTGTTTGAATAAGTTAAGACGCGGATACATCAGCAGAGGTTTTTGAGGAAAGAGTGACAGCAGGTGGAGCCCTCAGCCTAGTGAAACACTGGCCATACAGTCGCATAGAGCTCTCCTCTCAGCCCGTAACACCAGATCTTCTGTCTGTGAAAACAAATATATTATAGTAGCAGACAATTTCATAGTTGTCTCTATCAAACCACTCCTTGGTTAGTTGCAGATATTTTTCTACACTATTACATTATAATGCTCTAGTTGTGTATCAGTCAAAACTGGCTTGGACAATAGAGTGGTGAGACCTACCCTGGCATCGAGGTTGAAAGCAGTCTTTTTCAAATCCAACAGGGCCCTCTGCATGAATTCAAAAGCGTGGCAGTCCACACATGGGCGACCTGGAAAAAAAAGTCAAATATAGAGTGTATTGAAAACACATGTGACAAGTTCTGACCTGAAACTGGATTACACTGTGATTATACTATTATTACTTTCAAGACTTCAATTTGCTTTTTATTATGCTGTGAAAACCCAGAGACAGGGCCTACAGTTTATAGGGCAACCCCATTGGCATTGCCCAAACTCAAGCATTCTGTAAACAGCTTACAGTGTCATTTGTGGCACTGGCAGTACGTTATTCAAAAGGCCTACGCGCGTGTCCACAAACATTAAACTACTGCGCATTATACACATCAGAAGTCAGGAGGGACACTGGAGACATCATGAAGAAAGAAGCATCCCGCAGGACAGATGCTCTTACTTTCAGCAGGGATCACAGAGCCCGCGTCCTGGTCCGCTTCAGCTGCTCCCAAACACAACACAACTGCAGCCAGGAGCACCGCTGCCTGCAGATACCCGCTCGATGCCATGGCGACGCGACCAATTAAGACCCTACAACACAGGGACTAAAATTAGCTCTGGGGTACAGACTATCAGAGGAGCAGGTCCTCCGAGCGCCAGAGGAGAGGAGCGGGCTTTGTCAGGATTCAGAGACAGGAAAAATGAAAACACAGCTGCAGCTGAAACATGTACGCGTGAACGTATGTATTACCATTGTTTTCTGTCTTAAATCTAATAGAACCTACCTACAATCAGTCGATGATGTGAAGAACCAGCACAGCGCAAGATGCCCACTGGGGACTGTTTTATGTAGAGCTCGTGACTGCGCACGCGCGATACTTATTTTGATGTACCTATGAGAATTAATAAAACGTTTCAAAATAAAAGCTGATGCTTTTCAGAATACATTCATAAAATGTGGAATTATTGTCCCCCCTGTATTATACATGTAAGAGAAGAATACAATAATAACACTGCAATCCAGATTTTTTTGGATGATTTTGATGCATTTTTTATTGTTGGGGAAAACCTCAGCAGTCAGGTACGGAAGAACATGCAAGATACGTTTCAAAATAAAAGCTGATGCTTTTCAGAATACATTCATAAAATGTGGAATTATTGTCCCCCCTGTATTATACATGTAAGAGAAGAATACAATAATAACACTGCAATCCAGATTTTTTTTTTTTGATGATTTTGATGAATTTTTTATTGTTGGGGAAAACCTCAGCAGTCAGGTACGGAAGAACATGCAAGATACCCACAAAATACAAACTGAATATTTAGAGGGAAAGAACACTGAACAGACTGTTAATCCTGGGTTTCACTGTCACATGTGTCGAGACACTGATCAGTGTCTCAAAACGCATGTTTTCATCAGGCCAATTACCTTTTCAGTTTATTTAGTACTTTACACAGTTGTGCACATTAACTTTGCATATAATAACCGCATGAATACTCCGATAAAGGTGTGTTGACATGTAGTTGGCTCCTGTGGGCGGGTCCTTGCCTCTGTTTTCTTAGGTAGCCTGTTAAAATGCCCGAACTCAAAACACTTCTTTTTCCAAGATGGCGTCGATGAAGGACAGCGACACCGGCCTGTGGCTTCACAACAAATTGGGATCTACAGACGAGCTTTGGACGCCCCCGAGCATTGCCTCTCTCCTCACAGTGTCTGTAATCGACAACATACGACTGTGCTTTTCGAGTCTGTCGCCGCCCGTGAAGCTAAAACTTCTACTCGGGATGCTGCATCTTCCCCGGCGCACCGTGGACGAGGTCGGTCGCTGTGTTAGCCCCTAGCGTGTAGCTTAGCCCGTACTCCGTAAAATCGCACTTTAATGAGTAAAAGTTGGAGTATTTTGGTCCATGGCGTGGGTACTGTACTGTAACAGTCCGGTGCTACTTGTTCGCTAATGTTAAATTTGGCGGTAAGATGGTTTACTGCGTTATCGTAGCTGGTGTAATTTCAGGCTCTAACGTTAATCTTCTCGTGTAAACGTTCCTCACACGGACGCACGGCTGCAGCGGTTTTTCTTGCGCGAAGAGCGGTTTCTGACACAAGGAGAAAACACTGGAGGTCCCGCAGCTGCAGCGGGTGCATTAGCCTCGCAGATCTGTGTCAGACATTATGGTGGGACGGGCTCAACACCGCGGATTGAGTCCGCTGTGGGCGGGACTACTGTCACTGAAATCACCTGTTAACCACATGCATTTAAATCCTCACTGTGCAGGAGCTAATGCTGTGGCTATTTTGTCCTTTTGATGTTCCACCTTGTGATGTCATGTAGTGGTAGTTTTCAAGTTAACAGCTGCATGTTACCTTTAGTCTAGTAGAGATTGACAATACCAGCTATGAAGTCATCCAAATGATTCTAGTGAAGGTGTATGGAGTTTGAAAACACAGTGGGGCACTTCTTGTATTTCCATTTTGACATCACAAGGTCTGGTTTCTTTTTAAGAGAAGAACTCTCAGCCTAAACATCCAGGGTTAGTGTGTTCATCATGTGTGAATGAAATATAACACAACTCCAGGTTTGCGTTGATGAGGAAACAACATTATAACACAGATCAGAAAACGGCGTAATACGGGCCCTTTAAAGACTTGTTAAGTTCATGTTTGGTACAGGGCTGTGCAGTGTGATCAGATTTGTGATTGAGAAAAAGCAGTTGATACATAAATTAATAATCTGGGCAGCAATAGTAGAATATAACTTAATGCAACAGCTCTTAATATTTCTCATACAGTTGTCGTTTTGCCTTCTAGATGAAAGAAGCTCTGTCTGAGATAATCCAGTTGGCCACGGTGGATTCAGAGCCCTGGGTGCTGATGGTTGCAGACATCCTCAAATCCTTCCCAGAGACGGGCTCTTTAAACTTGGACTTGGAAGAGCAAAACCCAAATGTTCAGGATATCCTTGGAGAGCTCAGGGAAAAAGGTAAACAACAGTATTACAGCAGGACTCAACACAAGTTCCATTTAGAAACCTGTAAACTGTGAGTTGAATTGTATTTTTTAATCTGTAGTGAGTGAGTGTGAGGCTTCGTCTATGCTTCCTCTTGAATGCCAGTACCTAAACAAGAGCGCCTTAACCACACTGGTGGGACCTTTGACACCACCTGTCAAACATTTCCAACTCAAACGAAAACCCAAAAGTGCAACGCTGAGAGCAGAACTGCTGCAAAAATGTAAGTCACAAAAAATGAATAACACAGTAATAAGGTTCATCACACTGCATTGCATTGTGCATTGTGTGACTTTTCTGAGGGCCCATCAAATTATTTTGTCCATGGAAATGTTATTTTGTCTGGAAAGTTTCACAGTATGGCATTAAACCTTTCTATCTTCGTGGAGACCAAACTAGACAAAGTTACAGGTCAGATCTGTGGAGAGACAACCCCGCTCACAGTCAGAATGCCTGTTTTTCTATGTATTTTTGAGCTATAAAACCATCTGCAATTGAACATATGTTAGGTAGAGCTGTTTAATATCATACTGTGGAACATTAAAGGCTATGGAATGAGATATTCATAGAAACAAGCAGGTGTCAGACCCCCAAAACGTTATAAAGTGCACCTTTTAAGTTCAAATACTTAAAAACTTTAGCATTTGTTTTCACTTGTTGCAGCCACAGAGACAGCTCAGCAGTTAAAAAAGACAGCCGGAGTGCCTTTTCATGCCAAAGGGAGAGGTTTGGTTAAGAAGATTGACAATACAAGTGAGTCTGCTCTTCTAGGTCTCCAATTCTTCATTCTTGTTTTAATATTGTCTGCTATTCTTTTTAGCTCCTCTTAAGGGGATTCCCAAAGCCCCATTTCGAAGTCCCACCGCCCCCAGTATGTTCAGTCCTCCCAGTAATCGCACACCTATAGCTCCTGCTCGCACACCTCTCCGCAAAGAGAGAGGAGTCAAGGTAAAGTGGATGCTTTATTATTATCATATGCTACTTTCCCTATGACTTAACTTACATGATGGAAATATTATCATTTGAGACGATGTTTATACTGTGAGAGCATGATTGTTTTATTTATACTGTAAATGAGCAAAGACAGAAAATACACTCACTGTATATATTTGGAATTGTTTTTTCCTCATAACTTGTATGCTGGGCTTTTTATTCTTGTTGTAAATCTTTGGGATGGACAAATATCAATATCAATTTGAGCTTATACCTATATGTGTTTATGTGTGTTTGTGTAAACATTAAAGGTTGTATGGAGGATTTAAAAAAATATTTTTTCAAATTGTCAATGAAAGTTCAAAATAGAATTATAAAGAAGAAGCAGCCTTGTAATTATGATGACCAAAAAAAAAAAAAAAAAGAAAATTCATCAGCTGTGGACGTAGTGAGGGCAGATAAACATCAAGCCAATAGATAACAAGGCTACCTCTTTATCTATTGGCTGTTAGGTTGTCAATCAAATTCCCTACGTTTCTAGCGTTGCTGACTTGCCAACGCGCTGGGATTGTGTGGTTTATGTTCGCGGTTCTTGGCGTCTTTTTTGAACTGTAGCTCTCAGTTTGCACAAATTTTGTTTTAATGGCAGAGAAGAATTCACGACCGGTTCACCGCAAAAGAAAGTCAGTTTTTGACGTTGCTAAAAGAAGAAGAGAAGGGGAAAAGGTGCGAAGCGCAACATTTAAAAAAGGACAAACAGTCACTGCATTTCTCTTTCCTTGGAAAATCTTCTATACAACCTTTAAGCCATATAACTCTTCTATTTCTATTTTAGTCGCACACAAAGAATTGAGCAGCACCAAAAATATCAGCATTAAATATCAATATCGGCTGTTCATCACTGAATCTTTATCACCTGTTACTGGAACAGCTATATCACTCATTCCTAGGAAATTTCTGAAAAACTCTGGTAACAAGTCATTGGAGTAAAATAATCCTGCTTTTGTTGTTGTTTAGCTTTTGGATATTTCTGAGCTGGATATGGTGGGAGCTGGACGGGAAGCTAAAAGGAGAAGAAAGACATTGGGTACATTACCATTTTGTGAATATTTATACAGCTGTACATCGGATTGATTTCATAAACTTAATTCTTACATTTTGGTGTGGATAGAAACCGAGACTGGGGAGAAAGCAGCCAAAGAAGAAGCAGTAGTTGAAAACACGACTCCAGATTACGCTGCTGGACTTGTTTCGGCGCAGGTTTGTAGAAAACATCTATGTGTACATTGCCTTAGTAAAGATAAAAGATTCTAACATTTTGACTTAAATATGCTTTTCTTGGTTTGTTTCAGAAACTGGGGGCATTGAACGAGAATCCACTACCGTCAACAAGTTATTTACCAGCTACTCCCAGCATGGTGCCCTCTTCCTCTTATATCCCCAGCTCTGAGGCACAGCCAGGTGAGAGCAGCCTGTCTGTGATAGGGCTGTCCAAAGTATCAAAAAATCAGATATTAATTAATACTGAAACAAGTATTGCAACTAGATACTTATTAATTAATTAGTTAATTAATTATCTTAAGTTGTATTACTTTATACTTCCTGCTTCTGAAGAGTGCGGACGCTATCCTTGCTTGCTCCTGCTGTTTTTGCTTTTTAATCAGTTTACCTATAATGTGTCTATTTTTTATTTCCTTTTTAGTAAATTAATACTTTTAAACAATTTTTACATTTTTTAACAAATCATCTGATCAGCCAGCAACATGTCGGGGAGAAGAAACCAAGGTAATTCTATCTGTGAGCGCTGTCGGAACTATCAAAAAGAAATTTATGAGCTACAAGCACGGATATTTGCTTTAGAAACTGAAAAAGGACTTCATCAGACGCTACCAGTGACTTCCAGTGGTGAGCAACCTACAGTTACTTCCAGAGAAGAGGGTGAAAATTCTTTCAACTTAAACCTGAGTGATACTGTGTCTTTTCCAAAACTTGGTACAGACCAAAATGCTAAGCCAGCGCAGCGAGTGATAAAAGACAATGCTAATATCGTTATATCACCCACAATAAAGCTAACAAACAGATTTTCACCACTGTCACAGACTGATGTTAACGTACAAACGGATAATGTATTGTCATCACCAAACAAGAACAATAAACTTGGCAAAAGAGTGCAGGCATACCGGGAATCTGTGCCAAACGTCAAGGTCAGAGATACGTTGCTGCTAGGAGACGGGGCTATCAGTGGTGTGAGTCACAGAGAAATCCTAACATGCTGCTACCCGACCTACACTGTTTCTGAGATAACAAAACTCCTACCAAAAGTTTTGTCAACACACCAAGGGGTTAAACAGCTGATTGTGCATGTGGATGCAGTGGACATCAGAATGGAACAGAGTGAAGTCTTGAAAGGGGATTTCACAAAATTATTCGAAGAGCTTAATAAAGTGGAGGTTAAGACATTTATCAGTGGACCTCTTCCCAACATAGACCTAAGGAACAGGAACAAATTTACCTGACTGTTTCAGCTGAACACGTGGCTGCTGAACGTGTGTGCGGCCAGAGGATTGCACTACATTGAGAACTTTGATCTTTTTTGGAAACGGAAGGACCTGTTTGAGGCAAATGGCCCACACCTAAGCAGAGGTGGAGTGAGAGTGTTGATGGAAAACCTCCTCCACGCTCTGAGGCACCGGCCTGGACAGGGTCCTGTGCATGCAGTGAGAGAAAAGAGAAATGGGAGAAGCATCCCTACTGCACCAAACAGAGAACCAGCCAACGAGTCAGCCCCATTGACAGCACCACCACTGCCACAACCTAGGCAATATTCTATTGCCTAGTTTTTTTTAATTATCATTGTGACCTCTGAACCAGTGTTGAGTATCAAGGCTATTCCTCAATATTGAAATAATTTGAAATGTTATCATGACAACAATTATCTGGAGATTTTCCCTTATGAGATTTTTATAAATTATAGGTTACATTTTAAATTCTAAAGATCTATTAATTCTGAGTTCTTGACATTTCTAGTTTTCTCCAACGTTTAAAAGGTCTGTTCTAGTATGTTCATTAACACTTTCTTGATGCAGTACAAAAAGTGTTTGAAAGTACTAACTGTTTCCTTCTTTATCGGTCACCATAGCAAACGCGGGCGGTTCAGGGCGGGAAACGCTACAGTCGGCTCGCCAACCGGAGGAGCCGGCCACAGCAGGCACCGGGGCCAACGCCACACTCCCGGGCCAGTACAAACAGAGGACCCCCATGTACAATGCAGGGACCACCGCCAACCCAGCCACACCCACCTCCCCCAGCACGCCCACTTCCACGCCTGCCAACAACGGACCCCCAGCAGCAGCTACAGCCAGCCAGCCCGAGACCCCCACCCAGCCTCCCAGCACGCCACAGACCCCCACGCCTACCTCCGCACCCCAACAGCCCCAGCCCAAAAAGAACCTGTCGCTCACGGTAAAGCTATGGGGTTGCACTGTGTAACTCTTCTGGTGGAGGGTCCGACACCCGCTTGCCTTTCCACAGATCTGACCTGTAACTTGGTCTGGTTTGGTCTCAATGAAGATAGACATGTTTAAAACTATACTGTAAAACATTCCAGACAAAGTAATAACATCTCCATGGAGAAAAGCATTTGACTTCACCAGAAAAGTTACACAAGGCACTTTTAAGTGATGATGTCAGTTCCAAGTCCAGGCTTCACCATTGATTTCTAGCTTTTCTTTTGTTCTTTACTCCTCAAACAAGAGACAGTTACCTTTCAAATGCTTATTTTAACCACAGATTGAATTAAATATGTAAATAATGTAATTAGGAATGCACCGATCTGATACTGGTATTGAATATCAGCGCAGATACTGGAAAAAATTACTGCATCAGATATGTGCTTCCAAATACTGATTCAGCCGATATCTTGGTTGGACATATAAAACTATTTCCAGGTTGTAGTTGACCCAGAAAGTCTCATAATGCTTGTATTTGTATACAAAGTTGTTCTATAGTTACTTGACAGATAAATGGTAGCTGTATAACATTTTAATCAGTTTTCAGTTTTTTTTTTATTTAGAGGAAATTATGCTGTTTTCAGTGTCTGCCCTGGTATCTGTTAATATCAGGTATTGGCAGATGCTTAAAGCTATAGTATAGATATCGGTACATCCCTAAATGTAGGAACTATCTAACATAACATAACTGCAGGTCGTAAATAAATGCCTATAACCTTTTTGGCTTTAAACAATCTCTTTTTACCATGAGATGTGTTGTTGCTTAAAAAAGAGGAAATCAGCTCATGGACCCGAAAGTGACCTCACATTACAGCTCTATTTCAGCTTGATTTCTGTCTCTTTTGCGGTTATGTAAATTAACCTCTCATTTGCCTGTCCACAGAGAGACCAGATGTATGCCGCTCAGGAGATGTTCAAAACGGCCAACAAGGTCACGAGACCGGAGAAGGCGCTCATTCTAGGCTTCATGGCAGGATCCAGAGGTATGTTTGGTTTTACGGGTAATGGCACATGGCAAGCATTTTACCTGCTGTTATTCTTTACAGTAGGGTTGTCAAAAGTATCAGAAATCAGATAATAACCGATACTAAAACTATTATTGAAACTTGGTACTTATTCAAGCAAGTGTCGATACTAAAAAAGTCACACTCACAGGACTTTTCCTGAATAGCTTTAGAAGGATCTTGGGCTGTATAAGAGCACATAGACAAGTATATGCCCATGGACCACTGTGGAACCGACCTGGACGACTGAGGGATTACACAGATATAACACCAGTGGTAATACAAAAGAAAGTGCTATGATTTAATGTTGAAAATCACATTCTGTTGTCTTAAAATTATATATATTTTTTATCATCGTGGTGTTTTAGTAAGTATCGATTCAGTCCATATCAAAATCAAGTTTGACATTTTAGTATCATGACAACACTACTTTACAGCGCGATGTGGTTGAGTAAATGCAAAATTCTTGTTAAAATTTGAAGACTAGCTGCACTTTAATGTATGTAGTGTGTAGTATGTGTATGTGGTTCAGACAGAAAACTCATGTTCTTTGTGGTTTTGCAGAGAACCCGTGCCCGGAGCAGGGGGACATCATCCAGATCAAACTGAGCGAGCACACAGAGGTCCTGCCCAAAGCCGATGGCACAGGCAGCACCACCATGTTAGTGGACACTGTGTTCGAAATGAACTACTCAACAGGACAGTGGACCAGACTCAAGAAATACAAGCCCATTACCAACACCTCCTGAGCACTTCTAACCCGTATCACCCCCAAGCCCACTCACACAGTACATCACATACACACAAGTACCTTCAATTTCTTGGGTTCTTTTTAAAGAGTCCATATTACTCTATGTTCTGACCTATGTTATAATGTTGTTTCCTCATCAAAAACATATCCTGTGTTGTTTTGTTTCATTCACATGTTTAACACACAAACCCTGCATGTTTAGGCTAAGTTCTTCCCTCAAAGAGAAAAATTCTTTTGTGATGCTTGTGATGTCATGTGGTAATACAGGAAGTGCTCCACTGTGTTTTTAAACTCCATACACCTTCACTAGAAACATTCTGATAATTTCAATCCTGGAATTGCCAATCTCCACTCAACAAATGATAAATGGTAGCCGCTAAAAGAACAGAGCATTTTGCGCTTTGGAGATGTAGACAGACTGAAAATGCAGGATTACTCAAACATATGAATGAAACAAAACTCCAGGTACATTTTTGAGGCGGTAACAAAATTATAACATGGCTTAAAGTTCACAAGAGTGAATTTTGCGTATTATAGAGCCTTTAAAGACAATTCACCGTATTCCGGACGTTGGTGTGGGCACCACCACCATCATTTGGGTTGTATTATTTTGTATGCTGCAGCAAATTTCAATACAGACTATAAAGCTGTTTTAAGGCCCCCTGGAGAATTGGTGTGGTGTTCACTTCTTGATGTACATGAAAATTGAACATTTTACACAAATGAACCTAGTTTGTCATATTTTAGCTGCAAAACCTTTCCCAAATTTTCCATTGACATGGGATCTAAGTCTTAACCAGAAGTGCCACCACAAGAAAGCGTGGTTTAGGTGTGTTTAGAGACTTAAGATGGCAGGGTAGAATAATATAGTAGGAGACGTATTTACCTTGTTAAGAAACATGTCAACAAGGTAAATGTATCTCCTACTGTATTGTCTTTAAAAAGAAGCCAAGAAATTTATGTACAAAAGAAGACAAAATGAATGCTTTTGGAATACACAAAAGTACCCTTCACGTTCAGCCAAAAGCTTCTCTGGTAGGGCAATCGAGAGAGCAAGCCTCCCTTTTTCTTGTACAGCTGCCAAAATGCTGGACTGTGTCTTTGGTTGTTTCTTTCTACCTTTTTATTGTTTGTTTTTAAATGGCCTCTGGGTCCTAAAGGTGGTCAGGTGCAGAGAAGTTTACTGCACCTGAAGATGTGGACTCTATTGAATACAACTACAAAAGAGCTGTCTAACGAGTTGTCCTCAAATGGTATTCAAAAACATGGGCACGCTCAAAAGAAAAGGACTTGTAAAACTAACTTGGTGACTGGAGACTTTTGATAAATGTTTATGGAATCTTCCCTTTTAAAGAAGGTATGAAAATAAAAAGACAGACTCCAGACCATGTTCTTTACTCTTATACAAATAAACCAGAAACTGCTGAAATCTTTCGGGATTATAAAGGGACTTCACTTCCACACATAATTCTTACTATTAACGTGGGCCTCTATAGATTTATATTACCAGTCAAATATTTGTACATACGCTTTCATTCAATGTTTTTTTTTTTTTTCTTTATTTACTACTTTAAGCAAGATGCTGGTAAGGAATTATGTAGTAAAGAAAAAATAATAATTAGATATTTGAAATGCTGCAAGTTGCTTTAGTTCCTTTTTCTTGCCTTCACACTGGCTTTTGACATGCACAGACCTTGCTCTAGACCTTTAAGATTATTTAATTGACATACTAATGAGGGAAATCTGATTGTTTTGCGGTCATTGTGTTTTAGAAAAAAAAATCTGATCATTTAAAATTTGTTGTACTCAAAATCACATGAACTCTTTCAACCTTCTAACATTTTTGTCTTTGCAATATTTTGTACAGTCCGAAAGAAATCAGACACATCAAATGCTACTGTTTACATTTTTGTAATCTGATATCTCCAGTGTCAGATAATCACATTTTGGTGTGTGTGTAAATGTAGCCAATGACAACTCAGTTCAGTTGTGAATAGTACCTTTTTTTTGGAAAACAGAGGCCACATGCTGCACCTTTTAAAGCCCCAAAATTATACTTTTAAATCTAAAGTTGCATTTGAATGTGGCAAAAAAATTATTCTTTCACCTACTGTCAGTTATGTGTGACTTATTAGAGCCTGAAAGGGTTGAATATCAGTTATATATTTTTTGGTCTTTTTTTTAACCTGCCCCCTTCGAGTCCATTATAAGATTTTATTAAGTTTTAAAAATGGTGCAGTCTACCAGGTTGCACACCAAAATATTAATGGCTAAAATGGTTGAAAGAAAAATCTAAATAAGTAACAGTATGATTTTTTTTTTAATGTATTAAAATATAAATGGGGTACACAGGTCCAAAGCAAATTTGAACATAAACACATTTTATGTTCGTCTCTAAACCCACCTTTCAGTTTAGCTTAAACGGTTTGTGTTTGTGCAGAACAGGCTATAAAAATAAACCTTGGAAGAATAAGGATTGGATAAAATGTCATGGCCTTTTCAACAGTCACTACAGTTACCTACACCACTAATAAGAGTACACTTGTCCAATTATAAAGAGATTTCTCCAGAGAACCAGTCCCAGGTTAAAAATACTGACACATAACGATGTAACAATCCAACAAACAATGCATCTACAATTCTATTAGCCTTGCCAAAGTATTGCAATAAATATCGTACCGATATTTGGGTATCATTATATCCAGGCCCATCGACAGAAATCTGGGGGCCCAGGGCATGAAGCCTTACAAGAAGACCCCTTCTAATATAAATGAATAGGTAGAGGGTCCAATGCTGGCTGGTTTACATCCCTACTGACAAGAGTTCTCCAGTTCTAATCTCTGAGAAATCTGAATTACACCCCGTCCAGTCAGAGAAATCCTCTTATAACAGTAGCAGGCCTGTTTCTGTGCAGGTAAGTGTAGTGAGGATTACAAAAATGATGCCCTGTGGCTGTGACTTCTTTACACTGTGTTTAGTTGGCCCCAGGGTCCCTCCAGCCTCCAAAAGCCTTCTCCAGATACACGGCCATCTGGATTGTCAGGTGGTCTTGTAGCTTCCCCGCCACCACCTGCACCCCCAGAGGCAGCCCCTCCTCGTTCAGCCCCAGAGGGCACTGAGTTACGGGCAGACCCAGAACATTGAAGATGGCTGTAAAACAAAACATGAGATGGATAAAAAAAACAGCAGGTTTCATTATGTATTGTTAAAGGGCCCATATTATGCTACTTTCTGATCTATGTTATAATGCTGTTTTCTCATTAGAAACATACCTGAAGTTGTGTTTTGTTTCATTCACACGTTTAACACAGAAACCCTACATATTTAGGTTGAGTTTTCTCTCAGATGGATAACACCATGTGATGTCATGTGGTAATATACTAGAAGTGTCCACCATGTTTTTAAACTCCATACACCTTCACTAGAATCGTTAGGATAATTTTAGCCCTGGAATCTCTACTGAACAAATGGCAAAAGGTAGCTGTTGAAACTTGAAAACTACCACTACATCACATTGCAAGGTGGAACAGAGCATTTTGAGCTTTGGAGATGTAAACAGACTATTATTATTATTATTGTTATTGTTATTATGATTATTATTATTATTATTATTAAGGATGACTTAAACATGTGTGAATGAAACAAAACACAACTCCAGGTATGTTTTTGATGAACATTATAACATGACTTAAAGCTCACTAGAGCCAGTTTTGTGTAATATACCGGTGTAAATAAGATCATAGAATGCGAAGAGGGGATGGTGGTGTTTGGGGGCCACTTTGGTGAAGGTTGGGTACAGTAAAACTCCATCGGTGCCAAGGAGCTGGTCAAAGTCCTCCTGTAGTTTCTCTCTAATCTTCAGGGCAGAGAGAGGAGGGCTGGTCATCTTGGATAAGAGTGCATAGACTGGGGGCAGATACATGTTATTAGCTACAGTTTCATCTGTACACAGTATAGATCTGAAAATACTCTTACAGATTGCAGGAATTGTGTGATCGGATTTCCCCACCATTGCCTTGAGAAGCTCCCAAAGTGGCCACACTGGAGGTCCTGGTTCACCAAGCAACTTCTCAAAGCTGTCTGGCAACTGTTTTGTTAGAAATTCTTTGTTAGTATCATAGACTGTTTAATGAAGTGGACTAAGGGAGAGTAACAGTTAAATTAATCTCACAGCAACAGTTACAGAGTGAGGGGTGACAGTTTTTCAATGTAAAACAGCTTTTTCAATGTATGACAGCTCTGTTCACACTGGCTGCAGACTAGAGCAGTACTGGAGTCAGGGCAGGTGACGAGAGGGACAAAGAAGTCTGTTGCGCTGGGCCCCAGGGTCTTAGGAGCCCAGAATTGGAATCTCTTGCCCCAGGCCCCCAAATTTCTGTCGATGGGCCTACTTGAGTAGACACAATCCTCACCTTGCCTTCTTGGTCAGGGAGGCTCATGCTGACGAACCACATGTCATAGGAGTGTTTCAGATCTGGAAAATGAACCTCTTCAACCTTCACTCCAAGATCCGCCTCGAGTCGCTCTACCACCTCCAAAAATATGATTTATAAGCGGAAATCAAAAATCTATAAGACTTTTAATGTTATTCCACAGACCTTCCTCTGAGCCTGCTTTAGTTCTTCACTGACTGGATTTGTGAAGAGGGCTTCTCCACAGTCTGGGACTGTGAAGAAACGCAGCTTCTTCAAATCAACCTTTTCATTTAGAGACAACCTGGAGCCAAACCAAAAAAAATACAGTTATAGAAACACATTTCAATAAACTTTGCTAATTTACACTACCAGTAAAAAGTTTGGACACCCTCTCATTCTATTCATTCATTTTTTTTCTTCTCTCTGTTTATTACTTTCTACATTTTAGATACATATGTAAGACATCAAATATAAGAAGCAATATCTATGGAATTATGTAGCAAAGAAAAAAGTTTTTAATATATTTTATATTTAAATTCTCAAAGTAGTCACAGCATTGTAAACCCTTGGCCTTTTCTCAGTGAGCTTCATAAAGTCTCCTGAAATGTTTTTTATTTCACAGGTGTGTCTTGTCAGGGTCAAGAAATGCCAAAACTGCAAACCTGTGTGTGTGTATTTTGAACAAAAACAACGTTGGAGTTATTTTTCATACATATTTACTTACTACATTTTTATGTGTTCATTCATACGTTTGATGCCTACAGGGATAATCTACAATATAAATAATCATGGAAAAAAAGAAGAAACAAAAATGAAAAAGAGTGTTCAAACTTCTGACTGATAGTGTACTCCTTATCTTACTATTGTCCACTTCAACAGTACAATATACTGTATGCCACCAGACACATATTATTTGCATGGTTTCTTTTGCATGTATTTGCTTGTGTACACATTTGAGCTCTCACTTGTCAACATTGGCTCCAGCCATGATCTTGAGCATGGGCAGGAGGTCCTCTGCATAACGGCACATGGGGCCAGTGCTCAAGAGCTCCTCCTGGCGGCCAGAGAACGGGGGGAGTTGGTTGTCATTTGACACAATCCCTGGAAGGAAAGCTCATCAGTCGTGACATCATTAAAGGCTCATTTATGCTCTATGTTTTATGCAAAGAGACTTCTGTCCATCTCCTCTGAGCATGTGAAATCTTAGCAAAGGAGCAGTACATGAGCTGACCACTGGGGGCAGTAGTGAACACAGCTCTGTAGTGGAAGATAAGTGACTAGAACCAGTTGAAAAAAATTGAATCCTTCCTTCATCTACTTTTTCATGACTCTTTTGAAGATGCAATCTAAAAACTGCCATGGGTCCCTCCATGTTTGTTTATTCATTGTTCTATTTCATCTTTTTAGGTCAATTCTCAAATTGACTTTTAGCCCCCTCTGGTGGTTGCTTAACAGAACACAGTCTTGACATTGCATACATAACAGTGATGGTTACTACACTTGAAACGCAAGGATCGGTTTACGTACTAAAGTAGAACATAAATGAGCCTTAATGGAGAACACGTGTACAGCATATTACCCAAAGGGATAAATAAAGTTAATTGAATGATTAACTAATATGACATAATTGAACCTGGAGTGGGTTTATGTCCAAAAATGCCATTAGAGAAAGAAGGAAAACGAATACTGCCGCCAATGTCTGAACCCACTCCAATGACCGAACCAGCAGCTCCCAGAATACTGCCCTCTCCTCCTGAAAGACATAAAATACAATTTATAACTCCAAACATAGACACATACTGAGTAATAAACATGTTTGAACTAAATGTCCTCTTCCATGCACAGCTTTTGTCACGAAAGAGAGAAATTACACTGACAACAGGCTGTGATCAAACCTGGCTGAGTTTTTGCATCTTTAGATTTTTATGTTTATTTGAACATTTATGAAACATACACAACAAAGGACAAAAACAAAACCCTCCCACACCCCACCCCTCTCTCTACACATGAGATAGGTGATCACTGTGGAGCTCCATATGATTGGTAGCAGGACTAACCTGAGCTGCCCCCTGCGATCCTGTCCAGATTGTATGGGTTTCTGGTCATGCCGTACAGGTGGTTGTGTGACTCTATCCACATGCACTGCTCTGGGATATTGGTGACGCCCAGTGGGATCGCACCTGCCCTTTTCAGCTGTGCCACTGCTGGAGCGTCCACTGTTGCCAGTATGCCCCTTCTGGCCAGTGAACCTGCTGTATGGGACATACCTATAGGACACAGAAAAGGGTTAGAATAAATATTGAAGTTAAAGGGCCCATGTTGTTATTTAATGTTCTTTCCTCATTAAAAACATAACCAGAGTTGTCATTTGTTTAATTCACACATTTAACAGAAAATGTTTTGATGAGGTAAGAAGATTCTATTCTGGCGTAAAGCTCACACGAGTCAATTTTGTGTAATATAGGACCTTCAAAATGAGTCCACCTTAAAACTGCAGTTTGTGAATAACAGATCAGACTCAGGGGTAAAGGGCAGCAATAGGATTAAAAGAGTTTCACAATCTTATTTATGAGGCTCATACTTGTAACCATAGTATTTACTACTACAAAAGTTCTGTGAATATGTCAGTATTTGGATATAAATAATGACTGCTCTGTCTGACTCGGGATATCTGCCATGGCATGTGTGGAGACCAGATAACAGATATTCGGTTACTTATTTAGTTAATTTTTTTTCACATAGCCACGTAACCACTGAACATGCTAACTTATACTTATTTATTAACAGGGGTTAGTATAATAGCTCACTTACTTAAAACTACTCTAGTTTGTTTTAATATAAGGCCTTGGTAAAAACCTTGAACAGCAAAGGACTCTTTGACAGAGAGAGGCACCCCGAGCAGGGGCAGTCTGTCCTCCAGCACATCTTCTCCCCCAGTCTCCTCCTCGATCAGTTTGTCCACCTGCGCTGCCTCCTGGAGTGCCAGAGAAAACCTGCACAAAACCACAGTAAATACATCACTGAACTTCATGTTTCTGTCAGATTCATGAGCTGAGAATACAAAGTGTCAGGTTTCACAGCTCTTCTGACCTGTCTTGTACCATGGCGTTGATCAGGGGGTTGACCTCTTGGATCCTGTCGATGTAAGCCTGCACCACCTCCACACTAGACACCTACAACACAGAGAACAGTGTAACTTGATCTCTGGAAGGCACAATGTACCATCCTCTGTTCCATTTACACGTAAAGAGACGTTTCCCACAGGTATAGTCTCGTGTGTTCAGGACATCAGCACAGGCCACCTTCATTATGCAAAACGTCCATTTAATGGTTTATTAACTGAGCAGAAGTTTAACTGAAGCTATTATCTGTCAGAAACAGCAATAGAAAGGCCAGATATAGTTTATGTGGTTTTAACCTTAATGTTGTCCAAATGAATAAAAATAAGTTACCTGCCCTGGACAGTCATTTTACACTTTAATTGAAAAAGAAATCTACAAAATGCAGTGCGCATGTGCGCCGCAGCATATAAATACCTGTGGAATGAGACGCCGCATGGCTGAAAATAGAAAATATATTAATAATCGTAATGATAGAGGCCTATATAAAGGAATAAAGTTGTGTCCCTTGTCCATATGCAGTCAGGACCTAAAACAGGCATAGGGGCGAGTTTTCTGGCAGAATATAAAACAGTTTCAGGTTTTTGAGCTCAAAAACATGTTTTTGGAGGCTGTGTGCCCGCGCTAAGGGGCAGTGGGTTCACCTCTCTCCGGCGGATCTTCCGCGCCAGCTGCGTGGCGGACTCCAGCAGCAGCGGCTGGCTCACGGGCGGGAGCTTCTTACCGGACACTGGACTCTTCGGTGTGAGCAGACAGAGGAGCCAGAGCATCGCCCCCATCACCGCTTTGTACAGCAGTTCTGCAAACCGCTGCGCCAGACTGTGCGCCATGTTTCCCTCTGCGACTGGTCCGTTTTCTCGCTGGGTCCTGACGCAGAGTTCAAGTACAGCCTCTAATCCTCCCATCGATCTGAATCCACCCTCATACAACCGGAAGCTTCCCAAAACTAGGCAGTGTGGCCTAATCTCGTAGGCTGTTGCACACACTGTTGAAATGTAGTTTTATAACTCAAATGTGGGTACCACGTGCGTTTTATCTCTTATGTATCATTAAAACACACTGAAAACTCTTGTCCAACTTCCGGTTTTACTCCCGCCATTGCTTTACAAACTTCCACCAGTGAAACCATGAGTGAAAGCAACTCTGTTATTCTTTCTCATTCTTATAACGTTCACTGGTCCAGTAGTAAATAGTATTTTAATATTGTTCGTGTATCACATAGATGAGTCTCTAAAATAGTTTCACCGCTGCTTATATGGTGGTAAATGACCCCTCTTTATTACCTTGGCTTCAGGTAATGAAAAACAAGCCCCATCAAACATCAAAGACGCCTGCCCATTGAGCGCTAGCGTGCAATAACAGCGGAAAGCCCGCAGGGGGCAGCACTAGACACGCTTTGGCCCCCTCGTCCAATCTGCAAACAGACCACGCACCAAGCGAAAAAGCGCCTCTGCAATGCAGGTCAGTGGGTTAGTGGAGGATCCATGGCTGCTTCTGTACCCGTCACGTGAGGGGGCTACTCTCCACCATTTTGTGGGCACGTGGTCACGTACCCTATATTGCTTTCTAACATAACATATTGACACATAACATAGACAGTCACACGCTGGTGATTTATACATCCTATCTTTTTTTTTGCATTGATCTGATTGTTTAAAATACTACACCAAAATCTTTGTTATTGGGATTGTACTAGTAGAAGATTTTAAACTTGCTGCAAAAGGATCATAGTTTGGACACCCCAAAGCTACAGGAAATACATTATTATAAGAGATATTGCACTAAATGTACAAATAACAATTCAAAATTTTATTTACAAACAAATGCACTATAGTAATAATAGTGAATAGTGTTGGAAATATTTAAATGTGCCCTGAGATGTAAAGAAAGTCAGTAGACAGTGTCTAAGGCAGTAAAACTGTATCTATGATCAGTACAGGACCCACAGACATGACTCAACACATTGTGTTCATATTGTCCATTCAGTTCTGCTCATGTTTTCAGTATTATAACAACTGCACATAACAGAAACGGTCTCATGGTGCAGTCTTCACATGTTCCAGCCTTCACATGCTCCTGCATTCTTACTTTGACTTTTCTGTTTTGTTTGTTACTTGAAGGCGGCGTTTCTTTCTTGAAAAAGTCTGACATTATAAAGTACACGTGATGAAGTACATGTGTTAAAGTATATGTGAGTGAGAGGATGCCCAGCCTATAGAGGCCTATAGAGAGGCTCATTCCTCACCTGTAAGCTGACACCTGTCTCACTGATGGAGAGAGCCAGGCATGTAGGAACAAGAGGACGAAGCAGGAATAAGCTGAAAAACTGTTCAAAAGTTTGCACGGGGCCTGGGACATTATAGGACTACATGTACAGTTCTGGATACAGCGGCATCTTAAAGTCACAGTGTTTTTTTGTTTAGTTTTTTGTGTTTATTGCATTTTAACATCTGACTCTTATTTGACCTGCTTGTTTCCATGGAAATGTTCTTTTGTCAATAATTTTCCAGAGTATGGTATACAATGTATCTATCTTCATGGAAAATATTCAGAAATAACTTTTAACTTTGTATTTCAATGGAATCATGTAGACAGAATGCCACCTCCACAAAGTTACAGTAATAGAAATTTTAATTAATTATTATTAGTTTGTCTACATCTCAGAAGCTCAAAATGCTCTGTTCCACCTTGTGATGTCATGAAGCGGCAGTTTTCAAGTTAACAGCTGCCTTTTAACTTTAGTTCAGTAGAAATTCTCATTTTCTGGGCTGAAAAGATCCACAAGATTCTAGCGAAGGTGTACGGAGTTTAAAAACACAGTGGAGCACTTCCTGTATTATCACATGACATCACAAGGTGTCAGAGTGTTTTCCATTTGAGAGAAGAACTCAGCCTAAATTTGCAGGGTTTGTTTGTTAAACATGTCTGAATGAAACAAAACATAACTCCAGTTATGTTTTTTATGAGGAAGCAACATAGCTAAGACTAGAAAAGCACTCAGAGAGCACAGACCTCCGCCAAGGACTACCCCCATTTTTTATATAAATTGCGATAAAATCAGTCTTCTGGATCAGATCCAGATCAGCCTTTGGAATATGAAAGAGGATCCCATTGTCCATCCCTGAGTCAAATTTCATGGGGTTTGGTCAATAATTAACCGAGATATTGAGAAACTAAATTTTTGGCCCCATTTACCACAATGTTAACTAAAATTTCAAAGTGATCCAGAATCCAGGATTTCTTCCGGATCACCCCCAAAATGAAATCAGTTCTTCCTTTTCACATTTCCAACAAATCCTGAAAATTTCATCAAAATGGGTCCATAACTTTTTGAGTTATGTTGCTAACAGACAAACAAACAAACAAACAGACAAACGCCGGCAAAAACATAACCTCCTTGGTGGAGGTAAAAATAGCATAATATGGGCCCTTCTCAAGTTTTACTATTACTTGAGTAATTTCTTGGACCACTTCTTAGTACTTCTGCTACTTCTACTACTAATATTATTTTGAAGTAACACTACTCCTCACCTGAATACAATTTTTGGCTACTTTACCTACCCCTGAACACAGTACATAAATGCCACTAACCTTTGACCCCTGATCTGGAGATACAGTAGCTGTGACATGTGCTGCATCGTGTTTTACAGATGCTTTTGTGCGTTTGGTGCTTCAGGCTCAGACACCAAGGTCAATCGTACTAACAGAGGAGGCTGCAGGCGCGGTGAGATCTTTTTCCATCTTCTTTCCTGTGTCTCTCATCATGGGATCCACCCCATGAACACGAAGCTTTATATTAGCTCATAACCACCACTCTTTGCAAACAAGTTATTCGAGACAAAACCTCTCACCTAGCATTGTCATGAATCATGATACTAAAATTTCAAACTCAATTTGAATACTAAGGAATAGACTCTATACTCTTTAGACAGTAGAATGTGATTTTCAACATTAAAGGGCCCGTATTACACTATTTTTTGATCTATGTTATAAAGTACCCGGAGTTGTGTTGTGTTGGTTCACACATAAACATTTAACATGTTTAACTCAAACACTCTGTTTCACCTTGTGATGTTGTGTGGTAATACAGGAAGTGCTCCATTGTCATCTTCACTAGAATCATTTGGCAAATTTCAGTCCTGGAACTCCAAACTTCACTGAACTAAAGGTAAAAAGTAGCTGTCAACTTGAAAACTACTGTTTCATGACATCACAAGGTGGAACAGAGCATTCTAAGTTTTGGAGATGTAGACAGAATAATAATAAAGGATTACTCAAACATGTTTGAATGAAACAAAACATAGCTCCAGGTATGTTTTTGAAGAGGTCACAACATTATAACATGGTTTCAAACTCACAAGAGTCAATTTTGCAAAATGTAGGGCCTTTAACTCATAGTTCTTAGTTTTATATTACCATGTGGTCTTATATCTGTGGTCCATGTATATACATATACTAGTCTATGTGGTCTTATACTTGTTCTGATACAGCTCAGGATCATTCTAAACGTACTCAGGAAAGATTCATTTTTGCAAATTGTAACTTTTTTTTAGTACTGATACCTGCTCAAATGAGAAACCAGTTTCTGTACTAGTTTTAGTATCAATTAGTATCTGATTTTCGATACTTTTGACCACCTTACCCCCACTCCTCCTAATATAATCCAGATTTCAATTTAGTCAATGAAATCTCTGGTGATATCTGATGCAAAAGGTAATTGAGTTTGCAGATCCCACTGGAGAGGCCCTGATCCACTTTGGAAACCTCTCAGCTCCAGAGACCTTAAGCAGGGTGGAGCAGATCGTCCCAAAAAATATTCTATGCTATGTTGTAATTTTATTTTTATTTTGAATTGTGTCACAAGCATTTTTTCCCTTTAAAATAATCTTATTTTTTGCAATTAGTAAAATGTCTAGGTAGTACTAGCATAGTTAACTACACTGAAAAAACGGTCCGAGAGGGGTTGCTCAAATTGCAAAAACAAATTTGACAACAATAACATCACTTTTTTATGTTTCTCTGTCAAGCATGTTTAAATCTTACAAACATCGCTCGATTGTGGCCGATGTGAGACCTGCATGTTTTAATCAGGTTGAGGAAACATGACTTTATTATAATTTCTGGTGAGGCTCCTCCCTCTGGAATTCTCCTCCCCAAAACTTTTGGAGGGAAAATTCAAATGTAACAGGACACAGGACAGTTCCAGGAGCAGAGGACACACAGTGTGGAGCAGGAGGATCATGAGAGCTGATCTGGAGGTAAGACTTTTCAAAGATTTTATTATGTGCTTCTCCGGCCTAGAATGTCGTCATTGTTAAAACATGTTTGTGTTGTTTTATTTGAAATTAGAGTTAATGTAAGGACAGCTTGAAACAAATTGTTTTTGACTGTCCATCTCCAAGAGTGTGACACTTGTACTAAGATTTGAATGTGTTGCTTCCAGAGTCGTCTACAAAGAGTGACATCCAGAGCTCTGCTGTAGCTGTGGGGAAGTTCATGAATGTTATAGTTGATGTTTCAGAAAAAAGGAAGATGTTTGAGAACCAACAAAACACAGACCACAGATGAACAAAGTAAGTAAACCAACTAAAATTATTTAAAATTTTTTCAAAATGAACTTCCTATTGAAACAGCTGTCGTGTTTCTACAGGGTGATGTGGCATTAGGAGGACTTTATACCAGATGCCCTACCTGTTACTGTGTTAAGAGGAAGAAAAGCAGCACATGGTGAGTTTTGTTTCTGCAGATACAGTTCTAATGTTCTTGTTCTTCTGTTCTGGTCCATTATTGTAGTAATAAGTACTTTAAGTGTATTTAAACATGTACAACAGAGTAGATCATCAGAATGTGATCATCATGTGTTATTCATGTGTCCACAGGCAGAGACCAGAGCGTCTTCACTGGAATAAATCTTCACACTGTCCAGCTCCAAACTGTGTATCTCTGTCCCTGTGCTCTCTTTGTGTTTGATTCTGTTTAAGACAATACAGAACTGTGGAAAACTAAAGACTGTTTTTGTATTCTTTTACAGAATTAGATCAATTAAATTAAATTATACATACTTATACATTTCATGATAAGGTACCATAAGATAAATATGCATATTCAGCATGATTTGTTCAAATTTCATCAACATGAAAAAGTTATGTTCATGTTCCGAGAAAAATATGTGTAGAGGGGTTCGAAAAAAGTTTCAAAGCCTAAACATAATTTTATTGCGTGCAACCGCTGTCCATAACTTTTTTACGCAAATCCAGCAACTTTTTTTTTTCAGTGTACTAACTACAAGTATAGTTGGCATTCTATTTCTTATCATTATGTGAGCTGGCCTGCCTTTCCACAGATCTGACCTGCAACTTGTCTTGTTGCCATGGAGCTTTTTACATTGTGCAACTTTAATATGAATGGCATGTACTATCATAAACAGCATGCTTATAATTTAAAGTTACCTTTCATTCAGTAGAGATTGGCAAATCCCATTTATTTTATTTTAGTGTCCCTGGTGCCTGCCCCAGCCCCACCCCCTCTAGACCTCCTGGGACTGTGCGGACTGGACCCTTGAAACAGCTGCTCTGCTCCAAAAACCAATTACGCACACACACACACACACACACACACACACACACACACACATGCAGCACCCTCGGTTTAACACTCCCTCAACCCTAACCCCCCGCTCCTGCTGCTCTACTGCTACAAACACTAATAAACCATCAATACTATATCAGTACCATCAGTACTATATACTATATTAGTACTATATCAAGGTATATGTATATTGTGATATATACTGTGGGGAAGCTGGCCCGAGTGGTCTAAGTAGGAGGCAGACAAAAAAATGTCCCTTTTACCAAAAAATATTTATTCGTTCTTACACCGTGGATTCGTGGGCAAACATATATTTTTTTAATTACATATTTACTGCCACTTAGTTATGTTGCTCCATGTATGCTTTTCCTTTATATTTCCCTTATTATATATATATAAGCAGCCCAAGTCTGCTTTGATATGTATGTAATTTGTATTTCTGTATAAATACTCAAAGTTCAGATGCTGTGGGGGAGATGGAGAGGGGAGACTGGAGAGGACAGAGCCAGGGCAGGCCTTGGCTGTCCATATCTGCAGTAACAACAATAAATCTTTGTCTGTATTTCAAAAACTCATTGGTCTTCACAAATTGATTAATTATTTATCATCAAGATCATTTATATTTTTTCCACAACAACAATGACTTTTTTTATTTTTTATTTTTATTATTTTTTGTTTAATTTCTGTTCATTCATTCTGTTTCATTGAATGTTCACAATAACATTCAACACAAGCATCACCCTCACTGTAGCTCCAGGCTTGTATGTCTTATAACATTGCAAGTTTGTTTTGCTAATTTACTTGACAAAAGGGTTTCATAGATACATTTTACATCAAACCCCCACTTTATTTTTTTTGAGCCACTGTCCCATTGCTCAGGTAGGCTGTGTTAAGCCTGTTGTGCTGGGCCCTTTCATTACACTGGTCAATACTCTCTGAATAAAACCACAGGGGCTTTCTTCATTAAAATACCTTTTTGGGGGATTAGGTCAAAAGCAATATTGATTCTTATTGATTTTTGGCCCAATTCAGCACTTGATAATGAGGCAGAGGAAATAACATAATCGACTTCTGAATATATTAAGATCTAGTCTGTTTCAAAATGCACATTCTTCAAAATGCATTGTATTTTTTAATATATATAAAAACTAAAGCAACAATACAGAATCCATTTAAATAAATAGATTTTTTTTTTTTTTTTTCAAATTTAAGCCTAGTCATCTGTTTTTAAAGGTCCTACATTACACCAAATGGCATCTTGTGACCTTTAAGCCATGTTATAATGTTGTTACCTCCTCAAAAACATACCTGGAGTTGTGTTTTGTTTCATTCACACATTTTCACATTCACAATTTTTGTCACATTAACACTTTATCAGTCTGTCTACATCTCCAAAGCTCAAAATGCTCTCTTCCACCTTGTGATGTCATGTAGTGGTAGTTTGTAAGTTACCAGCTACCTTTTACCTTTAGTTCAGTAGAGATTGGCAATTCCACGTCTGAAATTATCCAAATGATTCTTGTGAAGGTGTAATGACATCACAAGGTGGAAAAGAGAATTTTCCAGAATTTCAGCCTAAATGTGCAGGGCTTGTGTGTTAAACATGTGTGAATTAAGTTTCTGATGAAGAAACAACATTATAACATGGATCAAAAATAGTGTAATATGGGTCTTTCAAAATGCTTGTGCTACCATCCTCACTGAAGTCAAGACGAAACAAGTTCAGTCTAATAAATAAATCATCATAGGTGCTCAATAATACATAAACCTTATTATAATGAGGGATAATCTGTTTTATTGTAATGTCCATAAAGTCATACATAAATCATCCTGTTTGAGCATTTGGCTGTGAGGTGTAAAATGTAAGACACAGTTTTTTATGGCTCCCTTGTGTCCCCCGGCTGCACCCAAACAAATTCTCACAAGAAGCTGCGAAGACCATGAAACCAGCCGCCCTCATTCTGACTTTAGACCATAGACTGTATAAAGAATATATGTACACAGTCTATGCTTCAGACAGGTGCTTTAAAGGTCCTATATTATTGCACAAAATTGACTCTTGTGAGCCTTAAGACGTGTTATAATGCTGTCACTTCATCAAAAACATACCTGGAATTGTGTTGTGTTTTGGTTCATTGTTTGAGTAACTCTTTGTCGTTGTCTACAACTCATGTCATGTCATAAAAAAGTATTTTTTCAAGTTAATAACTGCCTTTTAACCATTTGTTTAGTAGACACTGGCAATTCCATGGCTGAAATTATCCAAATGATTCTAGAGAAGGTCTATGGAGTTTAAAAACACAGTGGAGCACTTCCTGTATCATCACATGCGTTTTTTGTTTGACTGAAGAACTCTAGTCTAAATATGCAGAGTTTGTGTGTTAAACATGTCTGAATGAAACAAAACACAACTCCAGGTATGTCTCTGAGTAGGAAACAGCACTATAACATGATCAGAAAGTAGCGTAATATGGGCCCTTTAAAATGATGTGCGTAGGCTAATTAGGCATATAATGCAGCGATCGTTTCTTATATAAACATAAACTATCCAACATTCGAGCAGTTCCACTCATAGACAGTCCTCTGTTATTCAGCTCAGTGTTGCTACATGAGCCCAGTGCTGCAGTTTTAGACCTGTATCAGGCTCGTGTGAAATATCTTTCATGTGGGGACTCGCTCGTGATGGATGTGAGAAGTGGGTCAGCTCGCGCGCCCCCACAGGTGGATTTTGCGGTGATCACGTGTGGGCACGCCCCACAACGTCGCTTCTATAAACCGCTCTGAGACTCACTGCTCTTCTTCCTCCAGTGAGCATACAGGCGTAAGCGTAGAGGCGGACATACAGAGCACGGTGGTAGTCGAACACAGTTCCGTGGCTTCGGACACCGCTGCGGCATCACAACCCGCAGCGCATGTGGAGAGCCCGGGGAGAGGCGAGCACAGAGCCGGTAAGTCTGCCACACGAGCGAGCAACATGCTTTCCCTGGAGTCACTGTAAGCCCACGCGCTGCAGCTGTGCGTCAGCATTTTCACTTTGATATCACAGGCTCGTGCGTGTCTCCGTCAGTGACGAGCCCTAAACTCGAGCTCAGTTTGGCATCCATTATTCACGAGCCGCAGTGGAGCACACGAGCGTGGAGCGGGAGCTTAGAGCCGTGAATGTGCCCTAATGATCGGATCAGCTGTGTGTGCAAAGTGCATTGTGCTGGTGATATGGGGCTGTATTCACGTGTTATCACTGCGCTGCACAGCAGAAAGACAAACAGCCCGTGAGAGCGCTCCTCCGCTGGATTTATGTGGCTTCTACTAAAGCCACTGCACCTCGCCTACTCACAAGCGCCTAATGTTATTCTTCTCACTCTGAGAGCTTCAAGGTCGTAATATAATGAGTACCAAGCTGTAAAAATCCATTCTTGCAGTATTTTAACTTCGTCCTTCAAATATATTGACCTACACGGTGTCTACTTTTTGCAGGAGTACTGCACAATAAACTATGGCAGTGTGAGTTTAAAAATTTAAACAATTTTATAGGCCTATTGCATCTGAATTCATTCAACCCATTTTCATTGTAATGACTGATAATAGTCTCCATTGCATTTAATTCAAATCAGAATCTAAATCAGAATCTAAGTAGCTGTTTTCGTTTGTCCAAGCAGTCAGTGAAAGTGCTATTCTGATGTGTGTATTTGATACTGTTGGTTTGTAGTGTCAGTGTGAGCTTTTTCTCTTCACATGCTGTATGCCTGACACTTTTAACTCTGCTCCGCCTCCTCTTCTTCTCTCTCTGTCTCATTCTCTTCGCTGATGTGTCTCTCTGGACATCCCATTGGCAGAGGGCAGAGGAGAGGGGCACCCCAGCCAAGCCGCGCACAGGAGGCAAGAGTCTGTGCCAACGCGAAGAAGGCAGGCTGCGCAGTCTGGGCACTCCAGCCATGAAGCTACACTTTGCAGAGCTAAAGAAATCTCCACAGGATTATTAGCATTGTTAACACTTGGTTTCCAGGGAGCTTTCTCCCTCCAACTGGACATGGGAAACGTAAACATTAGCCGGACTAGATTTTAAAGCACGTCTCTGTCCTGGCCTGTCCCCTGACTCCAACCAGGACTTCCATGATGGAGGTGGTCAGGATGGAGCAGGAGCAGGAGGAAGAGGAGGCAGGACCACTCATCCACAGTGTCCATGGGCCCCACAGGATCAGACCCTCCTCGTACAGGGCCCTGCGCAGTGCTGTGTCCACACTGGCGCGCATCGATGACTTCACTTGTGAGAAGATCGGAGCTGGGTTCTTCTCAGAGGTCTTCAAGGTGAGTTAATACAAAATACAATGTCTCCTTATACATTTATTTTTGTTTTTGCATGAACTCCTGCGCAGTAGTTTTGTGGTCTTTTGAGTGCAGTTTGGGTCAGATACACGGTAACATTATAGATGCAGAAAAGTTTTAAGAGCTTTTGCCTTTTAATCTACTAATCGTTTAAGACATTTAAGACCCCATCTAGAGTGTAGGTTTCTATGGTTACCTGATTTACCCCCTTTGTTTGGGTGTTTCAAAGGAGATACTAAACTTATTAACAACCCTGAGGTAACTGGTCACTAAATTTGCCATAATTTTAAAGGTCCTACATTACACAACTTTAACTCTTGTGAGCTTTAAGCCGTGTTATAATGTTGTTACCTCATCAAAAACATAGTTAGACTTGTGTTTTGTTTCATTCGTACATGCTTCAGTAATATATTCAGTATTATTGCATATCATGTAGCAGTAGTTTTCAAGTTAACCGCTACCTTTTAACCTTTTTGTTCAGTAGAGATTGACAATTATAGGGCTGAAATTATCCAAATGATTCTAGTGAAGGTGTGGGGGGTTTATAAACACAGTAGAGCAATTGCTATTTTACTGCTTTACATCACAAGTATTTTATGTTTGAGAGAACTCATCTTAAATAATTATACAGTTTGTGTGAATGAAACAAAACACAACTCCAGGTATGTTTGCAATGAGGGAACAATATAACATGGATCAGAAAATAGCATAATATGGGGCCTTTAACAGTGAGTCCCTTCAGTTATCAATACACTTGACCAAAGGGAGCAAGGGTCCTGTCATTCAGTGATCCATGTTTAATTGCTTTGTTTAATTGCTTTATGTAATGGATTATATAGCTAGCAGTTCTCAGCAGTTTAATGTAGAAAAATGCATACACGCAAACATATTTTTCCATTTCGTTGAGTCTAAACAAACCCTTATTGGCAGTAGATGAGGTACAAGTAAATAATTGAGCATTTGGAAGGAACTCCAGTGCTAGTACAAGATGTCATTACACTGTGGGCCTGCGCTCAGAACATTTAAAAAATTAAGTGTGCTGCGTAAGCCTGACACAATAACACATATTGAAGTACAATATATATAGTGAGATACTGTGATAAACGAAAATATTGAGAACACTTTAAGCAATTGATAGAATAATAATAAAACAAGATAATCCCAGGAAACCATTTTAAATAGATGGTATCATTAAAGGTGCACCATGTCATTTTTCTTTTCAAATGCTTTTCTCCATGGAGATTTTATTGCTCTGCCTGAAATATTCCACACTATGACATAAAAAAAAGCTCTACTTTACATTTATTCAACTACAGGTGCAAAAATACATAGGAAAAAAAGCATTCTGAGCGGGGTTGCCTCTCCGCAGAACTGACCTGTAAGTTGGTCTGGTATTAAAACTTTCTATCTTCATGGAGATCAAACCTTACTGTGAAACATCCCAGGTAATGCAAGAATATCTCTATGGAGAAAAGCATTTAAAGGACCCTCCACCAGAAAAGTTACACTATGCATCTTTAATATATAACAACTTATCACTCAATACGTAAAAGATGGAACCATATGGATGTGGGTACATTTTAGATTTTTCTGTACTGAGATTTCAGCTATAGAAGGTTCAATAACTAATTTCTATGACTCTTTTTATAGATGCAAACTAACTACTAAAGTGTATGTAAGTGTATGTACACTTAAAAATTTGTTCTAATGACAGCCCTGATATTCCTAAAAAAGTGATTTGGACCTTTTTGAACTTTTTTAAAAAAAGGCTAACTTCTAAGGTGTAGGATCCTGTACTTGCGTGTCTCCATTGAGATGTTAGTTCTTTGCCTGGAATGTTTCACAGTAGGGCACAGTAGGGCTGCCTTGCATCTGTTCCATTATAGGGATTTCATAGCTGAAAAATGTTTTTACTTAATTCTTGCAGACTTGTGCAGACTTGCTTCTCCATAGATCTGACCATTAACCTGTCTCTGTTGTTTGGTAGTTTATTTCCATACTGTGGATTGATCAAATCAAAATTGTAATATCTCCATGGAGCAAAGCAGGTAGTGGACCCTCCACCAGAAAGGTTAGACAGTGCACCTTTAAAAGTTATCACAGTAAGTTTTTATACTGCAGTCATGGTCATTTTCACTGTTTGCTTGCGTTAGAGACCTGCCCTTGAGAAGCACCAATTTAGTATTCTTCACTAAGAGAACCCTCTGAAGCTCTCACCTTTAGACCGGTCACAATAACAAAATATGAATTACGATATATTGCTGAAGTAAATATAGGGTCATTATGGCAGAGGCAAATTTGTTGAATATTATCGATTATCATCTAAAGTACTAGAACTATCTCCCCAAGCTATTATAAATGTGTAATATAGTTAAAACAAAATAACTGCAATAAATAAATAAATAGCAGAATTGCACAATATACATACAAATTGTCATTTGTATATATATTGAGTCACCCCTCCACAGCTCAAAGTTTATCGTACTACAGAAAAAGTACTTGTTCTTAGTACCGGTACTAGTTCTCCCACTAGTACAATGAAGAAGTACCCACAATAAATTTCCTGTGTTTAAATAGTTATTTTATTATTTACACTGGTGAACATGGCTTTCAAGTGCTTGTACTAAACATAGGCCATCTTGAAAAATGACACATTTCTAAATACAGCCTGAGGTAAGAACTTAGTCGGGGCCTATTCTAAACAAATCAAAGATACATAACACAGAAGCATCCTCTGTCCAACTGTACTAATCAAAAATACATTCTGTGCTTAAAATGAATGCATATTGTTGGAGCCTTTTTTGCTTGGTCCAGGCATTTCAAGTTGTCTGACCCCTATCGACCACTCTGTAATCTGAGCCCCACTTCCTTTCAGAAAACCAAATACACGGTTTCTACGGCAACAGCTGCATCCCGACTTTGTAATGTTGACTTAAAGGTCCCGTATTACGCAAAATTCTCTTCTGAGCTTTAAGTTGTTACAATGTTGTTACCTTATTAAAAACATAGCTGGAGTTGTGTTTTGTTTCATTCACACATGTTTGATTAATCCTTTATTATTATTCTGTCTATCTCAAAAACTCAAAATGCTCCACCTCGTGATGTTATGAAGTGGCAGTTTTGATGTTAACAGCTAGGTTTTACCTTTAGATCAGTAGAGATCGGCAATTCCAGAGCTGATTATCCAAATAATTCAAGTGAAGGTTTATGGAGTGGAGCACACACAGTAGAGCACTGAGTGAAGCACTGAGTATTTTCAGTTTGAGAGAAGAACACAGCTTAAACATGGAGGATTTGTGTGAATGAAACAAAATAACACTCCAGGTAGGATGTTATTGTCAAGGAAACAACATTTTAACATAAATCAGAGAATAGGGCCCTTTAGCGCAGGTGTTCAAAAGCACCATTATGTAAGAGGTGACCCTTGCAATGGCCCCACACATGTTTACAGTGACCCCGGGGTTGTGTAAGATGTCCGTTGTTGTTGGAGGGGTGTAATTGGATCCACTGTGGACAGATAGAGCGGGCACACATCTTTGTAACTTTACCCCGCTCGTCAAACGCAGACCTGGTCCCTTTGTCGCCGTGCCACTCACCTGTTTACGGGTCGATTCCAACAGACGCCTCATTAGTGCCAAGAACGCCAGTGTGGAAGGGTGAAAGAGTGAAAGATGAAGCTAAGAGGAGGCAACGGACACTCACCTTTACATCACACCAACACAAGGAATTTCTCAGAAGCACATTGTTGTTTAAAGATCTTGTATTACGCAAAATTGACTCTTGTGAGCTTTGTTGTGAGCCATGTTAAGATGTTTACTACCTTCTCAAAATCATACCTGGAATTGTTTTGTTTCATTCACACATGTCTTAGTCTATCTACATCTCTAAAACTCAAAATGCTTGTTTACACCTTGTGATGTCATGAAGAGGTAGTTTACAGGTTACAGTTAACAGATGCCTTGTACATTTTCTAGAGGTAAGGATTGGAAATTCCAAAGCTCAAATTATCCAAATGATTCTAATGAAGGTGTATGGAGTTTAAAAACACAATGGAGTACTTAAATTACCACATGACATCACAAGGTGGAAGTGTGGAGTGTTTTCTGGTTGAGAGAGCTGAGATATATGTAGTGTTTGTGTGTTAAACATGTGTGAATGAAACAAAGCACACAACTCCAGACATGTTTGTGATGAGGAAAAATATTTTAACATAGATCAGAAAATGACACAATATATATTTGATATCATCTTTTAAGTTTTCTTTGTGCTTAAGGGAAAAATAGAAACACTTTGATTATAACATGAGGTTGTGCAAGTGCTGATCTCCAGTATATGCAGTAGTAGTTAGTAGTTGATGTAACCTGAAATGGACTTGGACTCTGATGGCCACTCCCTGGGCCATGCCCTTTCAATGGTTGGTGAGCATGCAAATGTCACTCTGTTTACTGCCTGCTGTCAATTCCCCTCTTAGTGTTGGATTGCCGTGGCGATATAAATGCAAAATTATTAGCGAGGCTATCGGTCATATCATAAAAGCTGCTTAACTGGCCGATTGTCCACACGTCCTGGTTATATGCAAAAACAACCTCTGAGAAATTCAACTGGTGTTTTTGCCTTTAAATGATTTGCCTGACAAGAAACTCCCTTCTACATTCTGTTTGAATCCAGAGGAGACTGGAACCGGACCATAGAGGGAGTAAATCCTCAGTCCTAACTTGAGATGATCCAACCACAGTTGGTCATTTGTTGCACGTGTCTCTTAAAGGTTTTATATTATGCAAAATTTACTCTTGTAAGATTTAGACCATGTTATGTTGTTATCTCATCAAAAACACACATGGAGTTGTCTTTTGTTTCATTCACACGTTTGAATACGTTTTTATTATTAGTCTGTCTGCATCTCCAAAGTTAAAATGGTCTGTTCCACCTTGTGATGTCATGGAGTGGTAGTCTTAAAGTCTTCAACCTTTTACCTTTTAGTT